TCCAGATCTCAGTGGGCACAGCCGGACCTCCACCGCGAGCGCCAGATCCCAGTGGGCACTGCCGGACCTCAACCGCGACTTCCAGATCGCAGTGGGCACTGCCGGACCTCAACCGCGACTTCCAGATCGCAGTGGGCACTGCCGGACCTCAACCGCGACTTCCGGATCGCAGTGGGCACTGCCGGACCTCAACGGGAAGAATGTCAGAAAAGATGCCAGATAGAATGTCAGAAGATATGCCAGATAGAATGCCAGAAAGGATGTCAGAAAGAATGTCAGAAGATATGCCAGACAGAATGTCAGAAGATATGCCAGAAAGAATGTCAGAAGATATGCCAGAAAGAATGTCAGAAGATATGTCAGATAGAATGTCCGAAGATATGCCAGATAGAATGCCAGAAAAATGTCAGAAGATATGCCAGATAGAATGTCAGATAGAATGCGAGAAGATATGCCAGATAGAATGCCAGAAGATATGCCAGAAGATATGCCAGAACATATGCCAGAAGATATACCAGATAGAATGCCAGATAGAATGCCAGAAGATAGAATGGCAGAAGATTTCCCAGTAAGAAGATGTATAAATGTCATGGTGGGGATCATCCGAAGTGAAGTAATTGTGTTATTTTTTGCGATCATTGGTTGATCGCCGCTGCGTAAGCCTTGCAAAGGGAGGTTGGATGGTTGGCGGCTTGGCCATGATGGTAATTTCATGGGTATTCAAGATTTGATGGTCAGATGGCCTGAATATATTGTCATCCGATCACACGCGCAGGTATATGTCTAATAATACATACTTTAGTATATTATATATGTATTGTAGGTATATAACATATAATATAACATAATTCAATATGATGTAATATAATGCAATATAATAAAAAGACAAGAACATAAATGTGATAAAACAAAAAATATATTACAGCCTCAATGAACCCATGGGGGGATGTTTTCCATTGTTTTCCTGTGCCAGAAGGTCCATGTGGAGGGCCCAGTCAAGAATCCCATGGTTGATCATCATTTCCGATCATAATTCCCTTTGAAATACCCGGTGCCCTCGAGTCTTGGAGTCTTGGACAAGAAAACACCTCTTCAATTGCCACATTGGCCATCTCTGTTTTGGGGTCCCATGTAGTGCGGATATATTTTTGGGATGGGCCATGGGAGTACCCAGTTTTTTTTTTCTCCCTCTTTTTGGGTCGTACTTCAATGCGTCAGAGCCAATGGTCCGCGTCGAACTGAGCAATTCGGAAAGGTTTCAGGGGCCTGTCGAGACGTTGACCTCGGTGCCCAGCACTCTTTGAGAGCTCCGAAAAATGGGCTGCATCATGCACGGACCATTTCACTCTGCAAGATCTGCAGGTGGAAAAAATGATGCTACTTTCGTTTTTTTTGGTGAAGGGGTTGGGCTTTTGGAAAGGGGCCCTGCCGAGAAACGAAGTTTCCATTTGCATCTCAGATTTTTCATCGTTTCATCATGGTCACATGCTCTATGTGGCATATCTAAAACTTACTGTATCTAGAAAAGTCGGGCCATTTGGTAGGTAGGAGGTTGCACATACGACGTGGAGCCTGTGGAAAGTGATATCCCCCCAGAAACTCGCACCAAATCCCCAAAATCTCGTAGAGATTGTCGAACGCATATTTTGTTCACATTTTCCATCTAAAATCAAGCAAAAACATCTATCCATCTCGGGGTTTCCCAGCTCCAGTCATCTGAGGCCTCCTTTGCGCGCCTGTCGCTGGTCTCGGAGGAGAAGTTCCGGCGCCAGGAGAAGGACGAGGTCGGCACGGATGCCGCGTTGGAGGCGGAGATTTTGGGCATGGCGCTGGAGCTGGCGCTGGATGAGAAGACGGGAAAACGGCCGGAGGAATGGGAAGCTTGGGAGGATGGCCACCATGGGAATACTATGGAGTTGTTAGTGGAGGTCGAGGTTGAGACATACTCAGAGGGTAATGGATCTGAGTCCTCGATAATAACTATTTCGGAAATTGAGAATGCAATTTTCATGATCAATTCCGTTGATTTTTTCTGTTGATGTTTTGGATGGTGCGGTGTGGAGTCATGATGATTCATGTGATGAAGAAGGCCCGAGAAAGCACCATACTTGCCGGTGGATTTGGTGAGGTTCAAACTTTTAAAATCGGGGTTATGCTTGGCTTGGGTTTGTGACATGATGAGATGGGTATCGGTATGGGTCCTTTTTTTGCAGGCCAGGGAAAGAGTGACCTGACCTGGCATGCTAGTACCAGAGATGCAACCATCAACTTGCTGCTCTCTGCTCTTACTTGCCCATCAGGCCGCATTTTTGGGCTGTGAATCTTTCAGCTAGGTCCATGGCGCCATTCTCAGAGAGGCAAGGAAAACCCGCTAAAACTAGATTATATATGATTATATAGATATTTAACAAGAACATTCAAAAGCAATGTTTTCATGTCATGTGTCTTTCGGATACTCTTGAAATCTTTTGGACTATTGGTTAATAAAGCACTCAAAGCCATCACCCCGGACAATGTTAAGCGTTAGCCGTTAACCCCAGGACAAATCAACCACTTCACTATATTATATGCGATGCTGATACTTTCTGCGGCGTTTTTCCCGGCAAAAAGTTGGGGGTTTACAGTTTACATTCTTTCCATTAAGGAAGAGCTGGTGTCATCGCTGAACGCCTCTGGTTCCACTTGGGATTGGTCCAAGGCCGAGGGAACCTGTGGATTCTCCATTGTCATGTTCAACGGTGGACGGCAGCTAGCCACGGACATGTTTGGCTGTAATTAGCTTCATCAGAATATTTGGGACGAGGGCCTACCTCAGTATTTCTCTACTGCCAGGTGATCGGTTGCTTCAAATTGGTTGATTTTTGGTTGTGCAAAATCCGATCGAAGCTGGGTGGTTCAAATCCCCAGAGATCCCAATAAATCGATACATCATGATACATCCGCAATTCTTGCTTCCCTGATTTCCTGCTGGCTCGACAACTCCCACCTTTTTTGGTGCTTGGACATCCTCCATAAAAAGGTATAACAAAGAAAACCAAAAAAATGTGGCTTGGGCAAAAAAAAAACATACCCAGACATTTGAAGCTTAGGCTTAAAGGCTTAGCTTCTTTCGCAGGTGGAGGTGCGAAAGGTGCAGCCCAGGGTCGGCGCTTCAGTCTACGTTTCGCCCGGCGTCTTCGCCGTGGGCGAGGAGCCGGTGCCACCGGCTCCACCGGAGCCGGGCGACGCCGAGGAGGCGGAGCCGCCGGCGCCGCCGGCGCCGGTGGTGGTCTTCGAGGTCGGGGATGTCGTGGGGCCACTGGGCGGCATGCTGCGGAGGAAGAAACGATACATGGCACAGCACTACGGCGCCTCGGACGGAGTTGGAACCTGGAGCTGGCAATGGAGGGATGGCAAAAGACGAGCAAATTTCAAGTTCAAATGCAAGAATAGGCATTGTAACTAATGAAGTTACTAATGACATCTAATGACTAATAGTTTTTTGTTGGTTACATCGTGTTTCCTTGGCTTGTTCGTTCTGTTCGTTCCCAACTGAAGATGTGATCCTTTGATTGTCCGTTTCACCCTTGCCGTGCTACCCAGGTGATGAGCTTTGGTTCTTCCATGACCCCCTGGCACATGAGCTCCCCCTGCGCATCCAATCCACAGAGCTGCGCACAGAAGCCATGGTGCTGGATATGAGTGGTGAGGGATCCAATCGCCTGCGCTACCTTCGCGACCAAAGGGCGGATCCCTTGGACATGTCGCAGGTGTTGCCTCAAAGCTACGAGGATGTCGTGGCCATGACTGCGCCTCAGTTTCAACAAGTTTCAACAAATTCATACAAATTCATACAAATTCATACAAATTCATACAAATTCAAAATTATAGGTTGCTTTTTGGGAGTCCTATGTATAGCTACCTATTCAGAGCTACAGGTCTGGAAATTCTGAAATAACACCTGCAATTTGACCTGCAAGTTGTATCAAGTTGTCAACATTTGTCAACTACATGGCCTTTCCAACTGTCTACGACCCACATCAGTCTATTCTTATGTTTGTTGACTTAAGATCCCCCAGGTATTTAAAATGATGACCGGGAACCAACCTTCTCTTTCTCATCCCCATTCGGCACCTGCATCCTTCCCATCCCATTTGCAACTCAGCCATAATCATCATAATCCTTCTTGCCTCAAAGTTTGGGTATGGGTTAAAACGATACCCCCTCCTCCCAAAAAGATACGGTATTTGATGGCTTTAGATCCCAAAAATCACCTGCCCTTTGTCGGTGCCACTATGAGTTGACCCATCCCCAGTGGTTTCAGAGGACCAGATATGACCAGATCATGGATTCACAGGACCCTGCCCACTTTTTTTTGGTAAACTGTGGTAACTCTGGTGAAGATTTTCCTTCCAAAACTCATCCATGGGCCCATCGAACCCCATCGAACCCCATCGAACCAAGAAGGTCGGAGGGTCCCTACTACTCTGACCATCGGTTTTCATTATTTCATATAATTAATGTGTATGAATGCTATAAATAACTATTATATGTATATATATGTATACCACTATTTGATATCAAATATGCTAATTACGTTGTAGATTATAGATTATATACACATATTTAACCCTAACCCCATGGCCCAGGACGTGTCGACCTCCGATGTCGCGCTGTGGCCCAAGCGCAGTGCCATGCAGCGCATCAACAGCCGTTCCCTGCCGCAAGAGACGCCGTCGCCATCGGCCACCGCGGCATCGCTGCCAGGGCTGCTGTCGCCATCCTCGGCTCGGCCGGACTCGCCCAAAACCTTGACGTCCACCATGAGTTCCGTTGTGGAGGCCCTGCCACCACTGGAGGTGCGGGAAACATGTGGAAAAAATGGGGTGAAATCCATAGAGTTGATGTAAGATTAAGTAAGTATTTAAGTATTGAAGTATGCAAGTGAGCAAGTAAGCAAGTACAAAAATAACGCAAGTACGAAAGTAAAGCAAGTAAGAAAATACGCTAGTATAGCAAGTAAAGTAAGTAAAGCGAGTAAAGCGAGTAAAACAAGTAAAGCAAGTAAAGCAAAGTTTACAGGAAGAAAGCAAGCAAGCAAGCAAGCAAGCCAGCCAGCCAGCAAGCCAGCAAGCCAGCAAGCTGGAAAGCCAGCCAGCAAGCTAGAAAGCCAGCCAGCAAGCCAGCAAGCCAGCAAGCCAGCAAGCCAGCCAGCAAGCCAGCAAACCAGCAAGCGAGCAAGTGAGCAAGTAAGCCAGCCAGCAAGCAAGCAAGCAAGCAAGCAAGTGAGCAAGTAAGCAAGCAAGCAAGTAAGCAAGCAAGTAAGCAACCCAGCAAGTAAGCAACCCAGCAAGTAACAGCAAGTAATAGCAAGTAACAGCAAGTAACAGCAAGTAACAGCAAGTAACAGCAACTAACAGCAAGTAACAGAAAGTAACAGCAAGTAAGCAAGTAAGCAAGCAAGCAACCCAGCAAGTACGCAAGTAAGCAAGTAAGCAATCCAGAGAGTAAGCAAGTAGGCAACCTGGCAAGTACGCAAGTATGGAAGCAACCAAGTAAGCAAATAAGCAACCCAGCAAGCAAGCAAGCAAGAAAGCAAATAAGCAAACCGGTAAGCAAGCAAGCAGGCAACCCAGCAAGTAAGCAAGTAAGCAAGCAAGTAAGCAAGAAAGTAAGGAACCCAGCAAGCAAGCAAGTAGGCAACCCAGCAAGTAAGCAAGTAAGCAAGCAAGTAAGCAAGTAAGTAAGGAAGCAGGCAAGCAAGCAAATAAGCAACCCAGCAAGCAAGCAAGCAAGCAAGCAAGTAGGCAACCCAGCAAGTAAGCAAGTAAGCAAGCAAGAAAGCAAGTAAGTAAAGAAACAAGGAAGAAAGCAAATAAGCACACCGGTAAGCAAGCAAGCAGGCAACCCAGCAAGTAAGCAAGCAAGTAAGCAAGTAAGTAAGGAAGCAAGCAAGTAAGCAAATAAGCAACCCAGCAAGCAAGCAAGCAAGCAAGTAGGCAACCCAGCAAGTAAGCAAGTAAGCAAGCAAGTACGCAAGTAAGTAAGGAAGTACGCAAGTAAGCAAGTAAGCAACCCAGCAAGCAAGCAAGTAGGCAACCCAGCAAGTAAGCAAGTAAGCAAGCAAGCAAGCAAGCAAGAAAGTAAGGAAGCAAGCACGTGAGCAAATAAGCAACCCAGCAAGCAAGCAATCAAGTAGACAACCCAGCAAGTAAGCAAGTAAGCAAGCAAGTAAGCAAGTAAGGAAGCAAGCAAGTAAGCAAATAAGCAACCCAGCACGCAAGCACGCAGGCAACCAGCAAGCAAGCAAGCAAGTAAGCAAGTAAGTAAGGAAGGAAGCAATTAAGCAAGTAAGCAATCAAGTAAGCTAATAAGCAACCCAGCAAGCAAGCAAGTAGGCAACCCAGCAAGTAAGCAAGTAAGCAAGCAAGTAAGCAAGACAGTAAGGAAGCAAGCAAGTAAGCAAGTAAGCAACCCAGCAAGCAAGCAAGTAAGCAATCCAGCAAGCAAGCAAGTAGGCAACCCAGCAAGCATGCAAGTAGGCAACCCTGCAAGTAAGCAAGTAAGCAAGCAAGTAAGCAAGCAAGTAAGCAAGTCAGTAAGGAAGCAAGCAAGTAAGCAAATAAGCAACCCAGCATGCAAGCAAGTAGGCAACCCAGGAAGTAAGAAAGTAAGCAAGCAAGTATGCATGTAAGTAAGGAAGCAAGCAAGTAAGCAAATAAGCAACCCAGCAAGCAAGCAAGTAGGCAACCCAGCAAGTAAGCAAGGAAGTAAGCAAGTAAGGTAGCAAGCAAGTAAGCAAATATAAAACCTAGCAAGCAAGCAAGTAAGCAAATAAGCAACCCAGCAAGCAAGTAAGCAAATAAGCAACCCAGCGAGCAAGCAAGTAGGCAACCCAGCAAGCAAGCAAGTAGGCAACCCAGGAAGTAAGCAAGCAAGTAAGCAATTAAGCAAGAAAGCAAGTAAGTAAGGAAGCAAGTAAGGAAGCAAGCAAGTAAGCAAATAAGCAACCCAGCAAGCAAGCAAGTAGGCAACCCAGCAAGTAAGCAAGTAAGCAAGCAAGTTAGCAAGCAAGTAAGGAAGCAAGCAAGTAAGCAAATAAGCAAACCAGCAAGCAAGCAAATAAGCAACCGAGCAAGCAAGCAAGAGTTGGGCCCTCCGCTTTGGAATGCGTTCAAAAGCGTCACTTTGGAACGCGGTCTCAAGCATCGCTTTGGAACGCCCCTGATCATCACGATCTGCATCCCCGTCTAAGGACATACATACATACATACATACATACATACATACATCATCATCATCATCATCAGCTTCCTCACCTTCATCATCAGCATCATCATCATGCTTCTTCTTCTTCTTCTTTGCCATCCTCCTCCTCCTCATCATCATCATCATCATCATCAGCATCTTCATCATCATCATCATCAGCATCATCATCATCATCACCACCATCACCATCACCATCATCATCATAATCATCATCATCATCATCATCATAATCATCATCATCATCACCATTACGTAAAGGTGCAGCGTGCTGATCCTGCTGTTTCTTCATGTTCGGTGAAGGGTGATATACCCGTAGCGTAAATGTTGGTAGTGAGTGTGTGTGTGTGTGCGTCGGGTGGGCGGGCACGTTTGTTATGTGGTATTGCGATTTCGCGGACGCCCTGCGTACGTGCCGTCGTCCAGAGACCTCATGCATGCATGGTAATTGCAAGACAGTCCAGCCGCTTTATTGTTTAATAGTGGAATACAAACTTGGTTCAGTTTTCCCGTATCCCCGAGCATTAAACCAAAACCACGTGGCGCTTTATCAATGTCCTTTCAATATAATCTGATAGTTACACACCCCCTTGTTGACAACACTTTTAGCAGCACGAGAGTATTAGAAACTATCAGCTACCACACTTATATCACATCTTCATCATCATCATCAGCAGCATCATCGTCATAATCAGCATCAGCATCATCATCATCATCATCACCATCACCATCCTCATCCTCATCCTCATCATCATCATCATCATCATCATGATCATCATCATTCATCATCGTCATTTACATGTATATATACATACATACAGGCACACACACATATATATCTATCGATCTGTCTGTCTATCTTTATATATATATATATGATTAGGTTGCTGTGCCTGTGCGTGCACAGGAACATGAAGGTAATGTCCCACCCCACCCCACCCCACCCCACCCCTCCGCTAACTGATCATGAAAGAGCAGTGCCTGTGTCTGCAGGACAGCAAGAAAGATGATGAGGTTGCTGTGCCTGTGTGTGCACAGGAACATGAACGTTATTGTCCCACTCACCCCACCCCACCCCACCCCTCCGCTAACTGATCATGAAAGAGCAGTGCCTGTGTCTGCAGGACAGCAAGAAAGATGATCAGGTTGGTGTGCGTGTGTGTGCACAGGAACATGAACGTTATTGTCCCATCCCGCCCCACCCCACCGGTAACTGATCATGAAAGAGCAGCGCCTGTGTCTGCAATACAGCAAGAAAGATGATGAGGTTGGTGTGCATGTGTGTGTGTACAGGAACATGAACGTTATTTTCCCACCCCACCCCCCCCACCGTTAACTGATCATGAAAGAGCAGTGCCTGTGTCTGCAGGGCGGCAAGAAAGGTGATGAGGTTGCTGTGCCTGTGTGTGCACAGGAACATGACGTTATTACCCCCACCCCACCCCACCCTGCCCCACCGGTAACTGATCATGAAAGAGCAGTGCCTGTGCCTGCTGGACAGCAGGAAAGATGATGAGGTTGCTGTGCCACGTTTTTACCCCACCCCACCCCACTGGAACATGAATGAGAGATGATCAGGGTGCGCAAGTGAGTGACATTTTGATCCCTGGGTGCGCAGCTAATTGAGGGTGCGCATTTTGAAGAGGCTTGGCTTTCTAACGACTATATTTGGTACTGACCTCGCTTTGGAACGCGCCAGGCTTCCAAAGTAGTACGCCTGTCAGTAAATCTCATGTCTGTGTGGTTGGCATTGTTTTGATGATGTGTATCATTTTGTGTTCCAAAGTAAGGCTAAAATGGACGTGTTCCAAAGAGACGCTTCAGACTGTGTTCCAAAGTGAACCTGCTATCGCAAGCAAGTAGGCAACCCAGCAAGTAAGCAAGCAAGTAAGCAGGGAAGTCAGGAAGCAAGCAAGTAAGCAAATAAGCAGCCCAGCAAGCAAGCAAGTAAGCAAGTAAGCCAGTAAGCAAGTAAGGAAGCAAGCAAGTCAGCAAATGAGCAACCCAGCAAGTAAGCAAGTACGCAAGCAAGTAAGCAAGAAAGTAAGGAAGCAAGCAAGTAAGCAAATAAGCAACCCAGCAAGCAAGCAAGTAGGCAACCCGGCAAGTACGCAAGTATGGAAGCAACCAGGTAAGCAAATAAGCAACCCAGCAAGCAAGCAAGTAGGCAACCCAGCAAGTAAGCAAGTAAGCAAGAAAGCAAGCAAGAAAGCAAGTAAGTAAGGAAGCAAGCAAGTAAGGAAATAAGCAACCCAGCAAGCAAGCAAGTAGGCAACCCAGCAAGTAAGCATGCAAGTAAGCAAGAAAGTAAGTAAGTAAGGACGCAAGAAAGCAAGGAAGTAAGCAAGTAAGTAAGGAAGCAAGCAAGTAAGCAAGTAAGTAAGGAAGCAAGCAAGTAAGGAAATAAGCAACCCAGCAAGCAAGCAAGTAGGCAACCCAGCAAGTAAGCATGCAAGTAAGCAAGAAAGTAAGTAAGTAAGGACGCAAGAAAGCAAGGAAGTAAGCAAGTAAGTAAGGAAGCAAGCAAGTAAGCAAAAAAGCAACCCAGCAAGTAAGCAAGTAGGCAAGCAAGTAAGCAAGTAAGCAAGTAAGCAAGTAAGCAAGTAAGCAAGTAAGGAAGCAAACAAGTCAGCATATAAGCAACCCAGCAGGTAAGCAAGTAAGCAAGCAAGAAAACAAGTAAGTAAGGAAGTTAGTAAGGCAGTAAGGAAGTAAGCAAGAAACTAAGGAAGTAGGCAACCCAGCAAGTAAGTAAGGAAGCAAGAAAGTCAGCAAATAAGCAGCCCAGCAAGCAAGCAAAGAAGCAACCCAGCAAGCAAGCAAGCAAGTAGGCAACCCGGCAAGCACGCAAGTATGGAAGCAAGCAAGTAAGCAAATAAGCAGCCCAGCAAGCAAGCAAGTAGGCAAGTAAGCAAGTAAGCCAGCAAGAAAGCAAGCAAGCAAGGAAGTAAGTAAGGAAGTAAGGAATTAAGCAAGTAAGTAAGGAAGCAAGCAAGTAAGGAAATAAGCAACCCAGCAAGCAAGCAAATAAGCAACCCAGCAAGAAAGCAAGTAAGTAAGTAAGTAAGGAAGTAAGGAAGTAAGCAATTAAGCAAGGAAGTAAGCAATTAAGCAAGCAAGTAAGCAAGTAAGCAAGTAAGCAGCCCAGCAAGCAAGCAAGTAGGCAACCCAGCAAGTAAGCAAGCAAGTAAGCATGTAAGTAAGGAAGCAAGCAAATAAGCAAGTAAGCAAGCAAGCAAGCAATTAAGCAAGTAAGTAAGGAAGTAAGCAAGTAAGTAAGGAAGTAAACAAGTGTCCAGCGTCGTTTTTCTCCAAAGGATTGGACGTTTTAATCGGAGAAACCAGCAGCCAAACCCTGAAGGCCAACTGCAAAATTGTGGATGTGCATGTCCAGGGCTGGCCATATAGCTTTGTGGTGGCCACTGCGACCATCTACAAAGATGAAGAGTTACTTGTGAATCTACCTGAGCTGTTCTGGATTAACTTCCGTTGATGTGCTTGTAACTTTCACAGAGTAACACCATTGAGGAACGAGATGAAACGAGACACATGCTGCGAAACTGCCGCATTTTGGCTGAGATCGCATAGCTCATGGATCTTGGTATCATCGCCCCAAGATGCCCATAGTTAGTATATGTTTAGTGTATCTTCGTATGCCCTGCAAAAGTTGCACCACATTGCACCGAGTCCCGAGGCTGCTGATTGACCGAGGGGAGGCGGGGTGCACCACACCGTCGGACTCCGAGGCTATCCAATAGCCCATTATCTATATCACTTAGTCACCATTATCGATGGCATATCATATAACTTAAACATACTTAAACACTATTAACATCTATTAAGCATGATTAATCGCGACCAACCATGAACCACAATTGATCACTATTGATATCCATGATTCATCATGATTCATCAAGAAACGCCGCCACAGGAGTTCTGGGAACGTCAGCGAAGCGTGCTGGAACGCCTTCGTGTCTTGGCTCCTGGGCTGGAAGAGATCCTCACAGGGGCCACTTGGCAAAGATTCGGCAGCGCGGCGGCGAAAGGGGAGATTTTAAAGCTGAAGATGTGAAGATTGTGAAAAATAGTTCACAATAGTAGTGTTTTTTTTTTTTGTTTTTTGAAAGGGATATGATGACACCTCCCATGATCATCATGCTCAATAAGATACTACTGAAGAATGGACCTCTGAGTTTGCTAAATCCATTCAATACATTCAATGTTCATCAAATATCCCAATAGCACATATGCATCCAATATCCCCAGAGTACAGCAATGTAAATGGCGGCTTTTCACATCCACATTTGTTTTTTTTTGGTACGGCACAGCCTTGGACTTGTTGGGTCAGGAGACTCGGTAATTTTTTCATGTGCCCTCGGTAGGGGGGGAATCTTCAGCGGTGGCTTGTCAAGAATGTTTTTTGTTTTTTTTTTTTTTGTGGGGGGGGGAAAGATAGGAACGTCATGAAACCTCTCCGCATTGTATGTAGAGCTGAGATGAAGGCTTCAAGGGAAACCTCGGGCGCCTGGCTGATGCATCGCTAGGAAACACCGAAACTTTGCCCGTCTACTTTGGTTTGAATGGTGTGATTGATGGTCTGCTGACTTTTGATGATTCCTGGCGTGTTTTATCAACCCAATTCTGTTTTTAATCTAGATATCCGGAGGTATCCGGAGAAGTTTTCAGTGATCAATGCAATTGACTTGGATGATGTCATTGGGTATCTATCCGAATCAATGATGGTTTAGTGGCAAAAATAGGAAACATCACCGCCTGGCAGAGGAGGTTTAGTTGTTTCAACTGCTGAGATGCATGTACCACGTTCTTGTAGGCTCGCTTGAAGTCACCAGAATCATCTAATATAGTTTCTAGCATGTGAAGCCACCGACCGTCACTTTTGCAAAGATCACAGGCATGTTGGATCTTTCAGGATATATAGTCTTGATTCATTGAAGGTTCCCCCCATTCAACCAGGATCCAATGGCCAGATGGGTAATAGATAAGCATATGATAATAGATCATAATCCCAGAGATCTATGATCCACGATTATCCATGATTATCCATGAAAACACTATCTATTAAGATAATCCCATAAACAGATATCACTGCTACCATCTTGCAACAAAAACCAAGGTCTGTTTAAGATTATATATTATATATGTAATTATATGGCAATGAATAGATAATTATGTAAGATACTTGATAATCGATTAATTTTCAGATAGTCAGGCAATCTTAGATACCCATTATAATGATCCAAGAAAAATATTATCAATTATATAACAGATAATATATCAATTTAGATACCCATATATTATCCACCACGATACACTGCAGGTGACACTGCCAGAGCCCTTGCCTCCGGATCCCGCCGGGGCCTTCCCGCCGCGTGCGCCGCACACCCGACCTTCCAGCAAGCCCAAAGAGTGACCGGGTTCCACGGTAAAGCGAAAAGATCACGAGGATCTTTGGAACATCATGGAGAAGATCTGGGAAACATTGGATGATTTGAACATACTATATATATATATACTGTATATATTCAATTCTGTGGGATCGATTTTGGGTGTTTGTCCAGATCTTTGAGTCATGATTTGCTATTCCCAACCATGAGAAGCTAACGATCTGAAAAAAGATCCTTCATATGAACCCAGTCATATGATCCCACAAAAATGTGGGCATCACTGGAGGATCATCACAGTGTCTATGCAGTGAGCATCGGCACCCCGGTAAAACACCAATAGGACCGGCCACCACAAGAATGACCAGTCCGATTTTAAAGTGCCACTTCTGATTCTCATGTCAACCAAGAGTTCTTGTCGTCGCCTCTTGCCTTAGCAGAGGGCAATAAAATGACTTGTAACGGGAGCTTATTTTGCCATGCAACAGCGGATTGTAGCCGTTACTGGGATGATCGTCCAAGCAGGACACTGGGGAATGAAAATGGGCTGGGGGAACTGTGTGGTGAAGCTTTCATCGCAACACCGTCGGCAGACCCCGCGATTTCATCCCCGATTTCACCAGTTTCATCGGAGCGTTTGCCCTGAAATCTGGGGCCAAAGAAGCCGAAGCTGCACCCAATGGTGCAGCATGAGGAACAAGACCCTGACCGTTTGGGATTCAGATTTCAAAACGTTTTGGATGGGGTTGGGATTCCAGGAAAGGAATGGTCGTGGAAAGCACAGTGCAGCAAATGCCAGGTGGATGTTTGCATGCAAGCAAAAGAATGCAAGACATGATCGGCGTACTGTAGCGTGTGTTTGAAGGTCCAAGGTTGGATGCTTCAGAATACCAAGCACGTGAAAGGCTCAAGTGTGGTCAAATTCCAATCACGATAGTAAACATTTTTGCATATGCCCTGAAAGTAGCAGCAGCAGTTGATACTTGCAGCCCATCACTGCCTGCGGGTTAAGGGAGATACCATGGGAGCAAATTCCAGCTTTGTTCCACCCTCGGGCCTTATGGCGTGGTGAAACATAATCACAGGGGCGATCACCAATTGTAGTAAGGGGATGTAAGGGGTACGGCTCGGTTCAGGCATGTTTAGGCATATATTCAACTACACACACATACCTGTACACATACCTATATACGTATGTACGGACACAGACATATTCATAGATACCCAATATTGCGCAATAATGTACAGCAATATGACTGCTGATGAAGTACTAGAATTCAGAATTCCAAGAGTAACCACATTACTTGGGGGTGCCTCCCACTTAGTAAGTGGAGATCAACCAATACCCCAGTATACCCTCGCCAGTGCAGGGCGAGGATGGCCGACCTTGGCAGAGCACGATGTGAAGAGCCTGGCTTTGATGGCACATGATCTTTGATCGTATGATAAGATATGATATATGTGTATATATATATATAGGTGTATGTACTGTACATGGTATATGATCTATATGATACATGATTTTGATAATATGATACGATATACATGATATACATTACAGACACACACATATATATGTATACATATATCATTTATCGTGATAGTACAAAGATATGTATATATATATAAATGCATACAATATTGGTATGCGAGTGCGCATGCGTATATGATACACGATCACTAAAATATGATATGAAATCGATTGAATGTGATGTATGACATACGATGACATAATACGATACATGGCATATGGTACATGTTTTCCTTTGTTTAAATGTGATATATATATATGTGATGATATAATATATATATATTGTTGTTTATATACATATTATATGTATATATATATGCATATATGTGTCTATATTTATATACAAACATAGAGTGTATTTAAAATTTCTTCAGGGCTCTTTGAGCTCTTCTTTGGAACTCGTTGGATGCCTGGGCAATGCCTGCAGAAATTTTCCCTGTCACCACGAGGGGGGGTGTTCCACCTTTCTTGGATCCTTTTTGGGCGAGGAAAAGTTGCCAAGCGAAGCTGAAAGGATTCGACAGCTCTGTCGTGCCTCGGCTGCCGATGCATCCTTGGAACTTGCGGGGCTGAAGTCCAGGATGTTGGAGTTGCTCTCAGATTTTGAATGATTTTTTTTGATAGATGTTCGAGTAATCCAACCCGGAAACAGAAATCCCATAGCATTTCTGATACATCCTGGGTGATGTTGCTTTATTGTCCTACCACACAACGATTGGGATCTCTAGTTGCCAGGTCAAATTGCCCAAGGGTAACCGATTAGAATTACATATCCATACCACACTTATTTACAACCCCAAATCATGGCGCTTTGTCTCCAGCCCCTTGTGTCATGACGCGTGGTTACACCTGCTGACATGATGTGTCAGTAAGCCCGCAGCATCCTGCAGCCATTTCTGGGGTGGCACAACTCAGCCCAATACTTGCAACGACTGCGAAGACATGGCACCTCAGATGTCCAAGACGGCGGCTGCTGCGGCGGCAGTGGCGGGCACCGCCTTTGTGGCTCTTCCGTCTCAAGGTGTGGATGTCCTCCCTGCCTGATCTTATGGTACCATTATCATCCATTATCTACCATCATATGCCCTCCAGTACTCGTACAAAAATGGAGAATTTTTGAATTGTCAGCGTATATCAGGAGGAGCTTAGATGTAGTTGAGGTTGCGATCGCACTTATTGGCGCTGTTCTCATTTGAATCCTTCCTACATTGGCGTGAAAGGATGCGAAAGGTGGGTGCAACACGTGAGAACTCCGCATATCGGATCTGATTGAAGACCTTAAGTCATTTGATAGGATGCTAAAAAAACGCTAATGCTCCCCATGGAGTGTCCTGAAATCCCGCTCATGTGGGACCACGTTTTGGGATGATTACTGTCACCAGATTCAGGGCGAGACTCTTTCGGCAATTCAGTTGTGTACCGAAAGTCGCCAGTTTCTGCAACTGGCACGACAGATGCCACAGCCACAGGACCTCGCAGCTCTGCCCCAAGTTCCGGCTCCCTGCGTGGTGCCCGCGGTTCCAGCGGTTCCGCCCTGGGCAGCGCTCCCACCATCGCCGTGCTGGGCGCCACTGCGGTGGCTGCGGCAGCGCTGAGAAAGAAGGACAGCCAGGCGGTCAAGGCTACCGCGCTGCAGGCCTTCGAAAACGAGCTGGGTGTCGGGGCCGCACCATGTTGCACCAGATTGCCTTATTGGATCTTATTGGTGGCTACCTGTAGTTACTGTAGATATATCTATCTATCTGTCTATAATATCTATATATAATACCTGCAAAAGATTCAGGACCTGTGCCTGCAAGGATATGCAATTACGGGTTCCTGATTTTGGAGAGGGAGCGTTTTGTACGTGGCTGAAACATGCTGAAACTGTAGGTTCCTCATTCTGTAGAGGTTTTGGGGTTTGTCAACATTCAAATATGCAAATTATATTGATTTTACAGGTTTCTCATTTTGTAGAGAAAAATGGTGGAACACATGTTTTCGACTTGCTTGCTCAACGCCCGCTCCTGTCGGAAATGTGGAACAGGAGTTTCCCTCTACAAAATTGACTTTTGTACATTTCAGGTTTTCAGGGGAGACCAAGGTTAGTTCACATCACCCCTCTACAAAATGGACCTTAGTATTTTTGAGGGCTTGCTTTGTTCCAGGTAGCCATTCTGCTTATGTGTGCTCATGCCAGGTTCCCCACTTTGTAGAGCCAGTGGTTCTTATAATCCTAAAAATGCACCAAAAAAAAGCGGGTTGGGTGCGCTGATTTTGTAGAGGAAACATCTTGCTACATTTTTGGCCGGTTCCTCATTCTGTAAGGGCCTGAGGCCCCAAAAACCAGATTTGGCTCTACAGAATGGGAACACCCAACCCCCCCAGTGCAATATTTGGGGGTATTCTATATATATATATATGGAGTCTATAGAGATATATCGAGAGAGAGATTCAGATGGATAGGCGGATGCATTGATGGCAAGCCAAATATTATAATATTAGATAATTAATTACATCATAATCTTTATAGGATTTCAGATGGGATAATCTGCGTTTGAGCATGCGTATGAATATACGAATATATTTCAAGGCAAGTAGAGAAACATAATTTTGAACCAGGAAATGCACTTAATAATTTTTAATAAAACTTACAAAATCATCACATGTACAGATACGAAAACATGTGCAGTTCACTATATACTTGCTCTCGGTTTTTCGATGGGTTGACAGTGGGATTTTCATGTTGCCATGTCTTGTTCCCTGCAGATGAACCCGTCAAGTCCAAGCAGGCTAGACCAATCACCTGCGGATATTTCCGAGCTATGTTTTTTGAAGGTTAGCAGGAGGCCGTTTTATTTGGGTCATTGATGCAACCAGTGCCTGGTAACTGGTAAACCACTTGGAATTTATGCCAATACATTGACCAGTTATAACATGTTACTAGTATAACCAATTTACACCCAGCTATGCGCCACAGGGATCCCAGGAAGCCACACTGCCGACCGAACAGCCGAGGTGTCCAAGCTCCTTTGGGCTTTTGGGACCCCGCGGGGTTGTCCAGTGATGGCGATGCCAAGGAGTTCTACCGCCGCCGCGTGGTGGAAATCAAGCATGGCCGAGTGTCCATGCTGGCCTGCACCGGCTACATTGTGCAGGACGGCTTAGAAGAACGATCAAACTGACACATGTTCATACATCTTCATGAAGTTTTGGAATGATCCTTTAATACTCGTTGGCGGACAGGTGCGTTGACGGAAATGCACGAAACACCAGTGAGAACATATCGGGGATGCTGCGGCATACTTTTAAGATTCGAAATGTTGAAAGGGAAAGGTATGGA